AATAAAACCTTCGGTACTTGCCCCAATGTGGGGTGGTTCTTAACATGAATTTGAAAATTCTCCTTATTCGGACTCAAAATGGCTAGTAAGGGATATCATTAGTGTTTAGGAAAAGAGAAGGAGACACCTTTCGTCATTTCGATCCATGTATTCCTTGTAAATAAATTCTTTGTCGTAAAACACGGTTTCCTTTTCGATCCACTCAACTCTCAAAAATGTGTATAAGGGACATGTTTAGGCATAGCTTGCCTTTGTCATCCTAAGTACTCCCCGTTGGCATGCTTAACATTCTCTTTTTTAATTTCAAAATCACTTGTTTAAATTATCCTTCATTGAGACTTTTGTTGCATGATGCATGTACCACTGCATGGATGAACAATTTTAGAATGTCAAACAAAACTCTTGAAGACAATGGTTTCAAAATTGTTTTATACTCACCTTGAGTCTTGAACTTGGAATTATTTTTCAACCAAGGGTATCATTCAAGGATTTTGAAGAAAAGGCTTCAAATGTTCATTTTGGATTCTGAACTTGGAAAAGCATTAAAAGTTTTCTTTTTCTTGAACGATTTTCTTTTGTTAAAATTTTATTCTTACTTGGAGTTTTTAGGATACTTACCTGCACAGTGCCAGCAGGTCGACCCTGGAAAAATTAAAAGAGATTATGTTAATGAATCTCTCCTGAGAATGACACATGACGTTACCCTTACTCTTGTTCCTCAAGTTTTTGACGTTTTCCCTATCAAGAGAAAGGAAATTATGTCAGGAATGTGTTCAGGAACGGTGACTTGGAACTGATACAATTTACCCTTCATTGAATCCATTGCTTGATTATTGCTTTAGCTTCTTCGAAGGCTAGTAAAAGTGAATCGAAAATCATATGTTAGAAATGGAATGAAGTAAGGTAAATTGAGAATGATACTCAGTTACCCTTCTCCAATTTGTTGCTTGGGCTTTTCATTTGTAACTCCTCCATCGTCCATAAGATGATTTGCCCCTACATCTGCCAGGTACATGCTTCTTTTAAATCTCACCCCCATGTTTGGTTGCATCGATATATGCCGCTTGCCCTAGCTAGATTTTTTAGTATGGTCGATGTTCCTCCATGTCCTCTTGTGATTTCTCGTTTGTTTTCCATTGCCACTTGTTTGGGTTTCTCTTCTTTTCACCTGTATGTCAAAAATGATATGTTAGTCTACAATTTGAATCAATTTGAGTTTAGGAATGAACTACCCCCTTTGATTATTAGAAATGAGACGTCGTCTCTTTGACATGTCCATTATCTTCAATCATCTCGACTACTTGTGTCATCGACCATTTTCACCTATCTACAAGAGAAATGGATGAGCAAGTTAGTTCGTATGCGAGACGCTTTCATTGGAATGACTATGTTTACCGTCTTTGAAGCAGCATTCCTCGGGATCATTCTGCAAGAATGATTAGGTAAGAGAAATCAACATATATGCATGAATGTTTTAAAAAATTATTTTTGAAAACAAAGACATTCACAAATACGTGATATGTCTCAACAGAAAACAATGTTTGAAAATGCTTTAAAACTTAGTCTTAATATCCTTGGACTTCCTCATTCGGCAAAAACCTTGAAACTAGGAAACGTGTGAAAGCCCAGTCCTCAAGGATCATCATAGGACTGGTTTGGGAATGCCCCATATGTCCTCAATAAAATGGATGCATGCTTTATTGAATATTAAAAGGATAATGCCGCATTACAACATAGACTACTGCAGACCAACGGCTCAAGCTCCGAATGTCATAGAGTTTTTAATACGAATGGCAAAAAGGAATTGAAATAACAAATAATTCCCAAGCAGGGGAAGGAAAACATGAAATGAAAAACTTTTCAAGCAAGAGCTTCTCTACGCCAAAGGGTGGATGGATGTGCTTCTAAGTGGCTTAGCAATATCGGTCACGATCATATGCACGGCTCCAAGGTGATTAAATCACATGTTTTCTTGCCCATTTGGCGGAGCATTTTCGAAAGATAACATCCTTTTATCAAGAAAATTTTAGACTTTGACCCTCAGGATCAAACAGTTGTCGGTCGTTGTCATGCCCATTTTCTTCCCATGTGATACTCATATGATTTGGACATATCAAATTCAATAAATGGATTTTCTCTCGGAATTTCTTTGGTTACTATCCTCCTTTCGAGGATTGTCACAACCTCCCTGCTCGGGTAATTAAAATTTAGGTGTCAACAAGGATCATCGGCAATAACTCGGATAATGGTTTAGGTAGCGGAGAGAATTGTCTTCACGGTGCTCTTCTTTTCGGCTTGTAGTTCTGAGGTGCACCGGAAATCCATGCTATTTGACAAAGCCATATTATTTGCTAAAGAATGGACTAGTATAGTTTAATCAGAGTAGTCATAAAAGATTATAAAGGATTAATTCCTTATCTGCAGGACCATATATAAAAAACCAAATTGATTCGACTCACAGAGCACAAATATCAATTTGACCAAAATTAAAATTTACGGATCATTGAAAATTGATTAAGAGTTCAAGGACTAAATTTTGGTAGTGTCGCTTCTATTATTAATGCTAGAGAATATGAAATCGAGTTGTAAAAGAGATTGTACATCTTTATTGAATATTTAAAAATAATTCACTGGTTACAGTAGCTAATTGAAGTTTGTTGCATCATTTTTGCTATAAATCTTTGTATCATTGTTGTTCAATTTTGTAAAGTGATGCTTATGTTGATCTTAAACTGGGTCCTTTTCTTCTGGGGAAAGTACAAAAACTATATCTCATTGCTAGCCAATTGACTACTTATTACCTCTATTTATACAAAAAGCATTCACATACCCTCCGAGCAAAACCGTACATTGAAAACACCAAACTGCCCCTCCTTACAAATTCATTTTAGCATTTTGCTTAGGGTGTGGTGGTTTTTATTATTTTTAGTTGATTTTTGAGTATTTTGGGAGGTCAACGTTATACTTATGTATTGTCCCGGATAACTAATAAGAAGTTCTCAATCTATATTGATAAGTTTCTATAAATGACCTTTTTTTGCCAAAAAACGGGCCTTGTCGCAATTAGGATTTCCAAGTCTCGGGTTTTTATGTTTTTTGGACTCGGTGGTGAAAATTCAGGTGTCAACACATACACTATACCGTATCATCACATGGGCACCCACAACCATAAAATAGCATAGACTCTCACTTGTATCCGTAAAACTTACAATCGTGTTTTAGGGGTCAAGCTTGTCATATCCCTTTGCACCGTAAGTTTCTCGTGGCCACTTGCAATCTTTCAATATCTTGTAATCTTTCGATCATTTAATCATATTGTCATTTATATTTTTATTTTCCTTAGATATATCAATCATTCAGACATATTGTCATTTATATGCACAAAGGGCTCAGGGTTACGAGGTGGTGATTGGCGGCACAGCTTGAAAACAAACCAAATCTAAAACTATTTAAATAAGTCAAGCCCATATTTAACAAAATTTCAACTTAAGCCCATTTCCCATTTTTTCTTTCTTTCTGTTTTTTATTTTCTTTTTTCTTCTTTGTTCGATGCTTTTTTAACCTTCGTCTTCTTCCTCGCAGCCTCACCGAGGGCTGCCCAGCAACCTTCAATATCTCCATGAACACCAAAACCAATTGGAATATACACAGAACATCATACCGGGACCTCGACAACGGGAGTTCATCAAACTAGAGCAGCAGAATAATGAACATAGACTCTTCTGCTGGTCATCCCATCTACGGCCCGACCTCCGCGCACAGGCACGAGGAACAAGAGGGAAAGTTAACTAATGCAATGAAACCTCAGTCGTGTCACTCGAAGCTCAAATCAGTATGTCGAGAACATACCCTCGTCACGAACGCCATTGAGTCGCCGAAGTAAGACCCCAGAACATACACAAAGGAAATGTGTCCATATACCACCTCATCGGAACGAAACATACCCAGAATCAGGCCTAAATACTAACACAACGATGAAGAATGTAGTAATGTGCGTCCGATAAATAATGGAAGTTTGAGAGCTCGGTGGAGAAATCTTTGTTTTAATTACAAGAGCTCCTGGAACGCGTCGACTAAGAAGAACGCATCCGTGTTAGTTATATCGCGCCTGTGAATGTAAAGTGCAGGAAACAGCAAATCGAAGGATTGTTTTGGGAGGGTTAAACTAGGAAGAATGTAGACCATTTGGAATGATTTTAATCGGGGGTTGTTCGCATACCTCTTTACCATCGAATGATCTCTTATAACCTGAAATGGTGTAGGGAAGAAAGATAAACGACCCGTTCAACCAGGTCTTTGCATTCTGAAGTCAGTACGTTTTTGAATGCTGAGCATCTGAATAATTTTCAAAGTGCCACAAATACACTGTTTTTCACGCCATGAGCTGCCATGGACAAGTTAAGCCCGTCTCACGCACACACCTCAACCAGAAATAAGTAAGTGAAAAAGCATAGAAAGAACGCCTCGCTCGACCTAGAGTTTGAGCTTAAAACCGAGAGAAAACCAACGACTTTGTGCGCGACATTTATACGGACCTGGGAAGCCACGAGGAGCGTCCATGTGTCTGTGCTGAGTGGATTCGGATATCAGTTGCGAGTCGCAAGAACATGAAACTTTTTTTCCTCGCAAAACCTGAAGATTGACCTCACGGAGCCTATCTATAGCTGGTGTTAGGAAGAACACCTCGTGGGAGTTGAAAATTGAAAAGGAGATTGAGAGGTTCGCCAACAACCAAGACTTTAAATTTGAGTTGCCACATTCTGTAAGGTTGGACATATGAATCCTCCTGGGAAAAATGCTATTTAGTTAGTAGAGCCAACTCAACCAAAACACAGACGGTTACCAGCACTGAGAAGAGTTATGGCAAAAATTAGTCACAGGAGATATTGTGTGTGTCAATCAAGACGATGGCTAAGAGTACCCTTCAAACCGAAGAAGAGAGAGAACTGAAGCGAAGGAATACATGGCATTGTGAGGAGGGTCGATTGCACTAACAAGTCTAGAGATCAATCAAAGTGCATTCATTCTAACACTATATGTAATACATTGTTTCACAATCCTTATTGCAAGGGCAAACCTTTGCTTGGTAGTTGTTAGTGCTAGGTTGGTTATAAATAATAGATATAGATTGGGCTAACATGTCCAAAATGGGGATAACATGACTGTTGGGGTCAAAGAATCCTAACACATCTCTATAGAGCGATCATCATCTGAACTTCAGGAAACACTGGATCGCGAGTGTGATCTGGATTGCAAATAATAGAGGGCTCTTGTTTTCGCAAACGTACATTCCCTCTCTCAGGCCAAAGAACCTATACACAGAGCTCCTTTTCTCTCGGCTCTTGGATAGCAGGAGTAGATTACTTCCTTTCACCCACATTACTCATTGGAGGGAGGGGACATCATGCACAGCCCATGCCGACATTGGCTCGATATTAGGTGAATATGTCCCACACAAACAGGCTATGATTCTCGCAATTCATTTCCCCTTAAGAGCCGCAATGCCAAATAGGTCATGTGAGTGCCGACAGAGAAGTAATGTCCACAACCAGGAGACCTATACCTTCCAAGCTAAGCCAATATCCATCCGAATCATGGCATCAGGATGCCCAACTGCTTTGAGATTACCATAGGATCCATTTCATCCATGAGGCATGAGGCCTAGCAGGTCTTCTTTCCCTGGCCAAACAAGTCAGCTTTTTGCGAGTCTTCTCATCTTTCCCCAGATAATTCCCCATGGAGACAAAGTCTTCAACTCCCACCATATGCAGCCATTAACTATGGAGCTTAATTCAAGCAAGATTCCAGAGATTACTTGAGGAACAAGGATATGATCCCCTTCCCATTGAGAGTAGACCTCTAAGGAATGCCTGTGAACTCCTTCAATCTTTCCATCACACTGCATGAAACAGGATGAGTTTTAAGATACAAGTACCAATGGGAAACAATAAACCGGACCTCAAAAAACTCATTTATAAATCCCAGAAATGATCGCAATATTTGCAGTGGCCTCATATAACATCACATTCTAAAGTATGGCACTAGCAGTATTACCTTATGATGTGATCATTGTTTTTTCTACTATTCAAATTCATGAGCAGAGGGTGAGGGAGTAAGGTAGGAATCATACTCAAGACCGCCACCTATACCTTATGAAATATTACTGATAAAGAAAAGAACGTATGAAACTGTTCTTCAGGGGAAATACTAAAACTAGTAGATAGATCAAAAGTAATCTTTCATTCGTTAGATTTGACAAACCATCTCTTGAATCTAGCTTTGTAGCAATGGTAAACCCCTCGTACCCCTTTGATGAATTTTATCTTAAATATTCAAAAGAATAAAAAAAACATATGGAACAAGATTTTGCCAATAAGTGGGATAAGTAAAACTCTGTCATACCTCTTCTTGAGGCATGGAACTAGATTTTCGAGTGCTCTATGGATGACAAAATCTTCTGAGCCCTCGTGATGACTAGAATCCTTCTTTTCTGCAATTGTACACAAATAGCCAATATCAGTCATTAACACAAACTTCTGCTGACAATCTAAACATGTAAAGCAGTAAATGCTGGGAGTAACAATAGCCACGTTGTTTATTTGATGTCATTCACCAAGTACCTTTTAAAATGATATGGATGGTTACAATGATTACTGTGGTGATGAATTGGTTAAAACAACAAGGCACCTCTACCATGATATAAGTTACTGACGGGCAATCAATCACTCAGTCACCATTCTTACAATGAAAACTGATGTTTCCTCAAATATAATTTGAACAAAGTTAGGGAACAATGACACTGTTTCAACAGTAAAGCATGAATCCCTTTTCTTCAATGTTGTCCCTCTAACGATAAAGCTTGGTTGGTATACCTTCATGACCTTCTTCATTGGACTGATCACGCCCCAGATATGAACTCTCATTCATTTCTAGATTCAAACCTTCTCTTTGTGCAAATTCTTCCAATATATAACCTACCAAATTATGGGCAATTATACTTGTTTCATCACAAGCTTCCTGGACAGCAAAGTATCGATTTATGCAAGTGCTTGGTCTGTTCAAGACATCCATTTGTTGATTCTTCAGTTCATCATCTTCAGCCTTGTGTCTCTCGAGAGATTTTGCAAACCCTGTGTTGGGTGACAGAAAAGAGAAGGGACCATCGCCATTGATTTTAGCAGAACTAAAGTTGCTCAATGGCTTTAAACCATCTATATCCATGCCATTCAAGCCTTCAGAACTCTTTGAGTCTTGGAATAACAAGGAAGAACTGCTATACCAAGCAGCAGTGGAGGCAATACCGGGTGAGATATCTGGCTCAGATTTAATTGCAGCAGCACTGTAAAACACTTTCCTTGGGGTGTGACTGGGAGAACTACCATTGCCCTTAATATTAATAAAAGGCAGGTTGGAGCTATCAGTAATAGACTCTCCAGTACCTTCCACTGGAAACAATGAATCAATGTTGTCAGACCTTCCACTCTTTAATATCCCTGTATGTCTCTCATCTTCGTAATCGGAGTCAGCGTCATCATCACTTTCTTCCAATTCTTCCATATAAGCATTGGCGAAATCTGTATCATACCCAATTTCCGGAAGCAAATCCCAGACATTCTGCTTCATATGGGCACTGACAACCAAAATGCATTCTACTTCTTCTTCAACTTCCTCCTTAGGAAAGGATGAAGGTGGTGCAGTTCGAGAATTCCTGTTAATAAAAGCCAGACTCTCCAATAAAGACCTTGGGATCACATCCAAATCAGAGCATTCGAAAAGATACTCAGTCAAAACGTTCTTGACTGCTGTTCTTAGACGACTATTTGAGACTTTAGCACTGGGGTCCAGCAGTGACTGAAAAACTTTCAGCTCCTGAAATCTAACTTTTGAGTTCAGTAGCCAAACAGCCTTCACAATTTCATCCTGCAAACTTCTAATTTCTGGTGCAAATTGGTAAAACTCCATTCCTGCGGATCTTTGAAAGCCTGATGCTAGCTTTAAAGATAACGCTGCTATAGCCATTGCTTTAGCTAGTGGTTCTGGTATACAATCTCTTGAACCAAGATCCAGCAACATGTTTCTACTAGTTTTCCTCACTTTTTTTATCAAATCATCTCGGCTGCGTCCACTTTTGAAGGGCTCCAACCGAGGAACTCTCCCCTGTACACATCTTAGTTTCCTATACATTGCAATCAGAGCCGGCGTAGAGAGTTCCTCAAGTCTACCCAGGAGCTTCAAAGCCGCTGCCCTTTGAGAATGAGATGTAGGAGCCAAATGATTCAGACAGTTTCCTCGGAAATTTCGTGGGTCATTTAGAAGTTGATAGAGCTTCTTAAAAGTAACATTATCCCATTGAGTGTTCGTTTCAATATGGCATACTTTACGGACAGTTTGCCTAACAAGTTTCTTCATCTTCCAGCGAGTTTTGTCAAACTCAACAGACCCCCTAGTAACTATCATAGCAAAATGATAAAGGCCCTTATTGGTCATATCATTTAGATGAGATAGAATTTCCTTTAGCAAATTAGGCATGTCAGACGATTTAACAATTTCTGCACCACCACTGCATCCTCGCTCCATATCATGCGATAAGATAGCTTCTTCAACATGCATCTTAGCAGTCTCGTAGAATATCTGAAAATAAAGACAAGGTAATATTACAGTGAAGAACAGTGCCGCTGTAAAACTAGGCTGGAATTTGGAATTTCCTACTGCTAAGCAAATAAAGAGATGCGACTAACACAAACCAAGGAAGTGCCAACCCAATTAAGAACCGACTGCAAGGGAAGAGACCTAAATAAGGAACTTGCACTTGCTTTGAAAAAACATACGAATCTCATGAGTACTTCTGAGAAACCGAATAGGTAATTATAAAACCACCGGAAGACACGTGAAAACGCAGATCATTGCAATATGCTTTGAAGAAAAACAGAACAACAAGTAGTAGCAATAGTAGTAAATAAGACAAAGGAAAATGTTCTTTTCCACCAGCAACTAATGGCAGTCGATAACAAATAGAAACTGTTAGGCACATCCACGAAACTTCCCTAGTTAAAACCTTTTCCACTTATAGTTTCCGGTGCACAGAAGATGCTTTAAATAAGCATCTCATACTCAACTTAGATTGATACAGCCCGAAATGCTAGAGAAAAAGAGGAAAATAATACCAAATACAATATATCAGAATGAATCCCGAAATGGCTTGATACTTGACACAAGAACTTACATCATCTTCCCTGAGCATCGATTCACGTAGGACCCTGAAAATGCACCGATAAATTCCTAACGTGAATTTCATGATTCTATACGTATATATGAACACAAAGAAAACACAAAGAAAAAAGGACCAGTTTATAATCTACGACAACACAAAAGCAGTGTCGAAGTAGCTTGCCCAAAAACTAAAAAAACTTACTTTTCCTTTAAAAACTTTGGCCCTTCCAAATGCTTTAACTCTGACTTGGACAACGGTACCCCCATCAACCACCTACATGCAGTTTCAAAATAAAACCGTCAACTCATGACGAGAACATCGCATATCTAATTGGTTCTTCTGAGTCAATCGAATTGACCAGAAAACTTGAGAAGCATGTTGCTGTCCAATTCAACCCAAAAAAAAAAGAAAAACATAAAATTCGCAGGGGAAAAGAAACGGAGAAATAGTAGGAAGTACAAAGACTTCAAAAGGGAAGAGAGTTCGAGAGAGACAAGGCTTCAATTCACTCCGCTACTTCGATCTTGTCACATCAAATCCAACAAAAAAAAAACCAGCTGGAAAAAGAAGGAAAATCAAACAAAAAATCAACAAACCCTCATCTGATTAACAGAATTCTATCAACAAACTAGCACCTTTCCCCACGCGTCAGAGCACTTCATCGAGAAGCTCCAGATTAAAACCACTTTAACAGTCCTAATACCTTAGAACTCCAATGTCCTCGTCAATCAATCCTCTCCTTCCGGAAAAAAGAAGAAAGAAGATTGCATCGAAGCTAAAGATGCGCGCAATAGCGACACACCGTCAATACACGCGCATGTATCGTACAAACGAGAAATTCAAGACAATCCAAACGCGTAAAGGCAAAGACCTTCTCTTGAGCGCGAGCTGCTTCTCTTGATGCTTGATTTGCGACAGTATCGAATCGCAGTCCGTGTGGTACAGCCCCAAACCAGCCATGATCGATCGATCGAGATCGAGGTCGCGATCGAGAGAGATAGAGATTAGGGTTTCTGCGGGTGTTTGTAGCATGCGCGCCGGAGAGACGGAAGAGTTCGTTGAGCAACGGCTTTGGGGAAAAACAGGATGCAACCCGGGGAAAAAAAATAAAAATAAAAACGGGGCAAGAGATTCGGGTTCGGTTTGGGTCGGGTTAACCCGATGAAGTGGAGGAACTCTTCTTTCTTTCTTTTTTTCTTTTTTCTCTTTTTTCTTTTTTTTTTCTCATTGTGGGTTAAATCATGATTGGGAATTTGGAATCATGGAGATCAATGATACTTATCACCCCGTTATAGTCTAGGGAATGAGGTTTTATTTCGTATAATTATGCTATTTGTGTAGTTTTTTATCTCCAAATTAAGCAAATCGAGTCACCTAATTGAATTATCAGATACAGCACAGCGTACGCGACATCCGTTTGATTCTTTCAATGAGTAAGATTGCGATAATAACATGGAAGTAGTGATTTCCAAATACCTCGATTCTTAAGTATTGTGAAAATAACCATTATTTTCATAATTATGGGGTCCAAAAAAGATATTATTGTCGAACTTTAGATAGCAACAAACTTAGCTAGATATTAGTTTATGTTATCGGTTACCTATTTAAAAGTGGATAAAACAAAAGAAACCTCAATAGATTTGGATTTTTTTCCCAAAATAGATGTATTTAAAAAATAATTCCCTAAATAGATTTATCGTAAAGCTACTTACCAAAAAATTGGTCTCTTAGTGCCACGCTTCTCACAGAGATTGCCTGGGTCTTTAGCCTCTTAAGCATATTCATATTCATCTCTATCTCCTTAAATTGTTGGCCCAACTTCGAACACTTTGCATAATATTAATTTTCTTTCAAAATCCAATTTATCATTAATAATGAAAACCAGAGCTAATTTTCGCACGCATAATAAAACTAAGCTTCCGAGTTAGAATTCGAAAATATGGATAAAAAAATGAGTTTTCGAATAACTGAATTAACTGATCACTTCATCTTATTTTCAATAACAAAACTTTCTTGCAATTCTGATTATTACATTGGTTTCGTTATGATGAATTTCTCTTGAAAGTAAAAATCAAGTTAGTTGGAGGATAACAATGAAACTACAATTTGAAAATAACTAGCATATGGTATATATAGCTTTATTTCCTAATTTAAAAAACAGAGACACGAAATATAAAAAGACTTGTTTCAAAAAGAATTTGAAGATTGCATAATTTAGTTCAATTATATAGTTGATAGAAGTTAAAATGAAAGACAATCCAATTTATTTTAATTTTGCCATTCAATTTTCGCAATAAGCATGAGTTCATTTACATATTCTATGGCAGAAATAAATCGAGAGAATACAGGAATTGAATTTTTTTTTTTCCAAAACAAAAGAGGGTTTGAGAGCTGAGTCCAGCCAGTTTAAGGAGTGCACTTTTCAAGTTGACCCTGATTTCAGAGGCTATATGCCCAAAAGAGTTGACCAACATGAGTCAGACTCTGCTTTTAATGTGTAATGGGGTGTCCCCAATCTCTTCTGGGGGAAGAGAACAGAAAGAAAACAAAGCAAAGAAAAATATGCTAACTCAAAGCTCATAGATCAGGTACAACCAATCACAAAGAAAAATGGAGAGAGAGAGAGAGAGAGAGAACAAAAAGAAGAGATGCTATACAAGAAGGCTACTCAAAAAAGATATACAGGTAAATTATGGCCACTCCGTGTTAATTTTCCATGAGCCCGAAACTAGGAACTGCTCACCCCTCAGCTGGATTTCATCAGCACAAAATTGCACTGAAAAGAAATAATGAAAAAATGGGAACCATCATTTCCAACCCGACACCACGGCATCCTGCACCCAGAGATAAGATGGTAAGCGCATGCTTTGGCGTTCAAGGAATCGGACCGGTAAAGAGGAAGCGCGAAATTGCTACGAGGACTAGCTAGCTATCATTAAAAGGCTACTCGTGTTCTGTGATGTCTCGTGCAACTGGTAAAGACACCTTCATGCAATTGCATCGACATGCGAGAAGATCTGAATGAAAACAATATGCATCAAACAAAGAACAGATGCGCAACTTGCTTGCAGATGTGTGGCCTAAAAGAATAGTCGCTCACGGGAAGGTCTTCCAAACTACAGTCCTAATGGGGCATGACAAATCATTGTCGAAGCTAAGCAGGTACTACCAAGTGCCAAGGGGTAAGCCGTAAACCCGAAAAGAATGGGCAGATTTTCATTCATGAAACCCCCTAACATGTAAAACGTGGCAGCTGAACGGAAAGCGAGTCTTCTTCCAAGAAAAGTCTAGCAAAAGTCAGCTTTGAGGGCTCTGCCTTGTAATTGATCAATGTGTCTTCAAAGTGCTGAGAGTAAATCCTAGGGATTATGGTCTGAAGACTCGCTGGGAGCTTTGACAGATCCAGGAAGTCCTGTTGAACCTTGACTAATTATTCATATCTCAACATAAACAAAGCCACTTTATCCAGAAGAAAAAAGGGCTAAGTCGGATCTCTCCAGATACAAACCCATTTCGGTCCACACTGATGAACTCGGTTAACAGCATTGCCAAGCAGAATACTTTCTCATGTAAGCCACATATGCGGCTTTCACCAAGTTAGATAGGTGAATCTTGTTAGGGAAATGCATTTATCGACACCTAACTTCAGATCTAACAGCAAAACGCAGATTCACAAGGGCGAAAAATTGGACGGTTAACGGTGCATACCAGGGTTTTTCATGGTCTCTGAAGTTGGCAATGCAGGCAGTGACATTTCTGCAAGGTCAAGCACAAAACCAATGCAGAAATCAAAATGAAGTACGAGTGGAGCAAAGTAAGATGACAAAAAGCAGGAAAAGATGGAGAAGAGCAAATGATCAAGATGATTAGATATCACGTTACCAGGAGCACATAGTGAAAGAGATGAAACTGATGCCGATGAAGGCCATGGAGCTACAATGTTGTCAGTCAGGTCACATGTGAAGCTGTACCCTGTCGTGTTGTCAAATATCACATTTGCAGGAAAGCTACGCAGTAGGCAACCTGCCACTAAAAGAAAGCGAGATTCCAGTTATTATCCATAGTCTGAATACATCCATTAGAAGACAATTCAGCATGCACAGGAATGACACCCACTTCATTCATGAAGAAAGTGTCCTTTTCGAATTCCTATATGCCTTCTCCAACTAAATCAGTTCCAATACTTTATTTGACTAGCCAATAACAATTCATAGCAAGATATGATGCAAACCTCGTGCCAAGAAGTAATGGATTTCCAAAGCTTGAAATTTTATAGTGTGTGTTACTCGGAAGGTATTTTACATATGAAAAATGATCAAACTAGAAAAAGCAGAGAACTAGGAAAGAAGATGGGAAAAGGGGACATCATTGGAGAAAAAACTAACCTTGCTGTCCATATACTGCGTCCTCTCCAAGTACGTTAGAAATGAAAGGAAATTAAGTCAGTAAGAAGAACAAAGAGCCTCAGAAAACATAAAAAGTCATATAGAAAATTCTACCTTGAAGACTGAAATCTTTCAAGTCAACATCACAAAGCTCATATATATTTGTCATGACCCCGCCTTTCCGAAGCATTGAACCAAACACTGTTGCACATATTATTGCCTGTTTATTCGTGATCAACATCTGTCTCTGAATGCCCGCAATATATGCATTCAGCGAGCTACAACAGGAAGGGCTAGGAGCAGCTACATTACGGCATGCGGTGATTACTTCCGAAGGCTGCTTAAATTGCAAAGGGCATACTGCAAATAATTTAGACATGGGTGAGCCAGACATTTGAAAGATACCTCATATCTAATCCCATTGGTGTCTGCAGAGGATCAGTGGGACTCAAGATCTATACATGTCAGTCAGAAACCAGCAGAAACTAAACAAGCAAATTAGCCCCATTGAAAAATTGGGTTAAAAAAAGAATACACATATCAAAGCCTCATCATCTTAGGTTCCCAAGGAAAAAGGAATGCTTTCCCAATAGATCAGTATGAAACTCTTCTCTCATATCAACATCAATAAAGAGAGGTACCAAAAGTTACCCAGTACACCTGATTGTCCGTGCACATATCCTACCTTATCATACATACTATGTTCCACCCTTAGCCATCCCTGTTTAACTTCGCAACTTGGAGAGATTAAACACAAAAAAAACTAATAAGCCGAAATCCCAGACAACACCACATTGAGCCACAAACAAAGGACCACAACAGAAATAGTTAATTAGTAGCTGTATGTGGCAAAAGACATACCTTTGTTGACCTTGCATGCAGATAATATTCGAAATGCAGTATTTGCTCCTTCTGATGGAAGCTTTCTTGATATGTATGAGTATACAACCCCTTTACAATCATTTAGTATATCAACTCGACTAGAGCCCTGCCCTGCATCTTCATTTTCGGTCATCGACGATTCTCCCCCCGAGATCTTAAGAGCAGCTTCCGCAATTGCAGGCTGGCAGATCGGTCTGCAACATTCTTTAAGAGGATCTACCGTGCGGCAGGCTTCAAGTAGGCTGCTTGAGTTCACCATTTTCTCAAAAGTCATAACATCATTTACAGGACATGATCCCCCAGTAAGATTTGCTGATTTTATTGAGCAGATTGAAGGTATTGTGGCGTTAGCTCCTCTGCTGGTGAGGATACTCATGATATCAGAAAAACAATCATTTGCAACAGCACTTTGCACCACCAACTTGTCAGAGCTGATGCTGTAAAATCCCTGGAATATGTGGACAAGGCTGCTGAACTGTGGACAACATATCACGTTTCCAACAATCATTGCCATGGGTTGAGAACAATCAGAGGCTGTCTTGCTTAAGATATTGGATATAGCAGAGAAATTTACAGGACATTTTCCTGTTAAACGCGGCTCATATGTTGTTGGAAAAGTAGGATACATCGGTGGCAAAGACTCATTTGGAAGTGGATAAGGTGGAATAACAGCGGGAGATATATCTATAGGGTAAAAGATGCCAGTGGTAGGGGGACTCGCTAACTCAGACATGGAT